CCAGACTGCGTCATAGCGGTGGCATTTGAAAGCTAAGGAATGCCAAAATGAGGGAAGTGCAGCTTATGGGAGAGAGAGAAGTGGTAAAATTAGAGGTGTGGAGATTGCGAAGAGGAATTTTGGACAATATCAAGAGATTTTAGAGTTCCGTGCCACTGGCTGTTTATTATATCTAAATTTTCTTCAAAGCCTAGGCTTTTCCTTTTTTTATGCAAATATAACTCTAGCTCTGCTTCTTGGCTATTAGCAGTTGTGAGTGTCTTTTTGGTTTGGTGAATTCTTAGTTTTTAATGACATATAAACTTTAACATAATTAAAGAAAAGAGGAATGAATTTTGCTTTCATTAGGCAAAAAAATTACAATAAAAATAAAATGCTTTTTGTACCCTATGATTGTTGTTAGAAGCAAATGAGATAAAATAGGTCTGAGTGACCATCCAACCTTTATCAAAAAACCACCTGTGAAAGTGTTCGCTACCTGACTAGGCAGCCTATTCCCTTAAGAACTGTTCCAGTAAATTGAGAATCTTGCAAGTAAAAATGTGCTTCCATGTAACACTGGATGTAACCTTATAGCACTACCCACCAATACTTGTTCTGCAAAATTGAACTTATACAAAGCAATCCTAATCCTTCTCCTATACTACACCATGACCCTTCAAATATTTGGAGACAACATGTGAACCTCATAAATCTTTCTTTTCAAGTCTAAATGATCTAAACCTTCCAACCATTTTCTTCTGACATGATTTCTGGATATTTCATCATTCTGATAACATTCCATGGAGAACTGAGTTATTCTCTAAGTCTTTTCAGAATTGAACCCAATATCCCAAATATTTTCTAATCAAGGTGGAAAACACAGGACTAGCACCTTTCCTGCTGTGCCTCAATTAACCCAGCATGGGTTTGCATTTGCTTCTTGAACAGCCGCTGCGCACTGTTGGCATAGGGAGCACAACAGTGTAACCTGAGCGCCCTTTCTCAAATGAGTTACCCTTAAGCCTATGTCTACCCCTGTCCAATTGACTTTGTGATGCTGAGTATAAGGCTATATTTTATTTATATGCTCACACTATATATCTACATAAACTATATACATATTTGCTATTTAGCTATCCAACCATATTTTTCTCATAGTCCTATTTAATTATATTTCTACTAAATTTTATCACGTTTGATAGCTGAATTTTCAGGTCCTTCTCCACCTCACTTAGATCAGCCTGTGTAACCATCATCTGTCTTATCCCTGAGTCGTTTTGCACACAAGTTAGCTGGGTGTCTCAGTCACGACAACATGACTGAGTTCCGAGCTCCCCGTAGAGCATTTATTTTGTGTACTCTTTTGTTTTCTTCTTCACTGGGGTCATTGTGTTTACCTTGCTTGAAATCTGTATATTTTTATGATCTTCCTTTTTTATTATATGTATTGGGGTGACATTGGTTAATAAAATTATATAGGTTGCGAGTGTACAATTCTATAATATATCATCTGCATATTGCACTCTGTTTCTATCACCCCAAAATCAAATCTCTTTTCATGACCATACATTTCATCCCCTTTACTTTTTGCTCCCTCCCCCTCTCCCCCTTTCCCTCTGGTAACCACTGTACTGCTGTTCATGTCTATGAGTTTTGTTTTTCTGTCTTATTTGTTCATTTTTTTGTTTGTTTTTAATTTTATTTATTTACTTTTAAAGAGAAGGGAAATGAGGGAGAAAGAGAGAGAGAAATATCAATGTGTGGTTGCCTCTCACATGTCCCCCACTGGGGACCTGGCCTGCAACCCAAGCATGTGCCCTGACTGGGAATCAAACTGGCAACTCTTTGCTTCACAGGCCCGTGGTCAATCCACTGAGCCACATCAGCCAGGGCCATTTTTTTATAGATACCTATCCCTTACTCTATAGTAGCTCTGATTTTGAAATTGTACCTAATCTATGTACATTTTTAAAAACTTCACTCTAAAGTTTAATATACATTATTGCCAGGGCTTTTTTTTCCTAGGCTGTTTGGTATCATTAAATGAAAATGCTCATTTTTCCCAGGTTCCTACCCGCTTACACTTCATAGATCTTTATTCAGAATTAAGTACAAATACCAGTTTCTGTTGATTTTTTTAAAGATAGAAACAGCAGCAAGGTAAGTACTTATGATCATTGATAGCTTCTCATTTATTGCTTTCACAGTGGAGTAAGTAAAACATGACGCAAAGGTGTGCTTCCTAAGGATTGTTTAGGGCTTGAAGCCCATGGACTCTCCATGTGGTCTAATGCAGCTCCTTGTTTAATGAAAACCTAGGTACCTGTTCCTGCCAGGGTCTTTCCCGTGGTTCCCTCTTCTGCTTCATCCTATGAAGAAAGGCAGTCTCCCTTTGATATTAGAGTAGGTAGGACAGAGTCATTAAATATTTACATACTTGAACCAAGCTGTAGAGACATTGTCTCTTTCAGCCCTCACAATGTTAAGAATCACATCTCCATCTTACAGACAAGGAAACTAAGACGCAGATTAAAGTACGTGATCAAAGTGATTATTTATTAATAATCACTTTGTAAATAATAGAGCTGGTTAGCTCCTAAATAATAAAGCTAAATTCAACCCTAGTGTAGTCTGAGTTCAGAGCCATGCTCTTATTAACCACTACTTATTTGTGAATTTATACTTTCTACACAAAGCTATTTTTTTCTGGCACTCGCGTAATCCCTGTTTCCTAAACCATTTTTCATGACCACAGTCTCCACCTATTTCAGGTGTATTTGGCTGTGCTCCTTTCATTCCAGCCATCTGTCAGTCTGTCTCATCGCAGTCACTTCCCAGCTCTGACATGGAGGCTGCGTCCCCGTCGCTGATCAGTTTCAGTGATTTGTAGGGTAGAGTGGATTGTCACTACCTAACTCTGAGTGCATCGATCCACCAAAAACAAGTGCCTTAGCAGGACCACCATTAGTTTGGATATTGACTGTTGTCATGAGGTCATTCTTTAGGGTGAGATTTTCAATTTCCCTCATTTGAAGCATGGTCTGCATGTTCTTATATGCCACATCAATCCAGCAGCAGAGCCTGTCAGCTCTGCTTCAAAATGCATCCCAGGATCCAACCCTTTTTCACTTCATAGCTACAACTCTGGCCCAACCCATCAGCATCTCTCCTGGCCTCCTTTCTTCCACTTGTATGCCTGTGTGGTATGTTTTCCATACAAAGCACCAGATTTCCTGAAACGTAAATCAGATTATGTCACTGCATGAACCCTCCAATCACTTCATGACTCATTCAAAGTGGAAGCCTGTTCGCCTACCTAGCTACCTCCTCAATGTCATCTCCCACAACCTCTCCCTCACTCACTGCCTTTTGGAAACAGTGGCTTCCTTGCTCTTCGTCAAACATGCTTCAATGCATTCCCATCTCAGGATCTTTGTACTTGATGTTCCAGTTGACTGCAAAGCTCTTGGTAACACCAGAGCTCCTTTCTCGCTCCCCCACTTCCTCCAGCCTCTAGGACAATGTTATTTTATCAAAGAAATATTTGGGAAGAGTAGTAACCTTCCTCTCATACTCCTTTCCCTCCTTATGCTACTTTTTCTCTGCATCAATTACAACTGAAATATATTTTCTTTGTTTGTTTTTCTTATTGTCTGTCATCTTTGTTTCTTTTATTCACTGCAGTACCCTCAGCCCTTAAAACAATACTTGACATGAATGAACATAAAATTTACAATTAACAAAAACAATAAAAACATTTATTCCTTCATTAACTGAATTTTGTTTTTAAAAGGTTTATAGCCTAGTGTAAAACTGCAGTGAGAGAAGTGAAAGAGTATTTCACCTTCTACACCCCCAGGGTTAAGTGTTGTGACGGAGTCATGAGGATGATGATGCATCGGCCTCTAGGAGAGAAGGCAAGCAAGTTAAATTGAGGGACCGAGGAGCACCAACCCAAGAGATGGCTTCATTCTGAACAGACTAAAGAGTAACTGAAGAATGTTAGGAGAATTACATAGTTGGGTTTGCTATTAAAATGACCACTTTGATGTCTCTGGAGGAAGAAGTATGGTAAGCAATGACTGGCAGCAGAGAAACAAGTGAGATACACGGATTCATGAGAGCAAGGCACATAGAACAAGTCTCAGTTTCTTACCAAAGTGGCTGAAATAAAGAACACAGGAATATTTAGAGGAAGATTGACATGTTGATATCGATGTGGAAAAATCCAGTAGCTTTCAAGCCAAGAGTGAAATTCTGGCTAATTGTTGTTTTTATTTGTTCGTCTTCTGTTTGTGAATATAATTAGAATCCTCAATTTTAGAGAGTTTTTAGTCCTAAGTATACACATTATTGTATATCAATACCTATGACAATTACTTCTGCCAAAGGATAAAAATCAATATGTTCTTGATATGTTGCATAACATATTTTTACCTGTTACCTATACTTCTGTGTAGAGAACCATGCCCCATTGGAAGCTTATTCAAAAAATACAATGTTAATTTTCTAAATGTGCATGACCAGGACGGTAAGAGAAAAGTGAAAAGTGAATTCTTCTCAAAAGTCAGCAGGAATGCCTTGCTTGAGAAATTTCTGGCATCCAGTCAAGATGGCAGCATAGGCAGACATGTCTTGCCTCCTCGCACAACCACATCAAAATTACAACTAAACTATAGAACAACCATCACTCAGAACCATCAGAAATTGAGTTGAATGGAAGTCTGACAACTACAGAATTAAAGAAACCACATGCATCCAGACTGGTAGGAGGGACACAGATGCAGAAGAAGATGTTCCCAGATCCACATGTGCTGGGTAAAATTTGGGAGTGATATCTTGGAAGCAAGGAGTCCCAACTCCATACCAGGGCCCACAGACCTGGGTTCCAGAGACAGAAATATAAGTCCCCACAACTTCTGGCTGTAAAAAAAAAAAAATCAGCAGGAATTGATTTAATAGAAGAAACTGCAAAAGTCCCAAGTAGTTCCTCTTAAAGAACCCACATGCAGACTTACTCAGACTCACTCCCTCTGGGCTCCAGCACCAAGGTAGCAGCTTGAAAGTCACCAGTGGCACACAGGTAGAAAATGGAGTGTCTGGCGTCAAGGTGAGCAGAGGCCATCATCCCTTGTCTAAATGGTTCCCCCACAGAGTCACAAAGCCAGCAGCTGGTTCTATAGCTAAGACTCCATCAATCTCACTAATACTATTTTCCCCACATGGAAGTTCCCCTGAGTCTGCTTCCCACCCCAGGTACAGACCCACCCAGGCTGCTTTTCTATATGAATGGCTGTTTTTCACTCATGTTTCACAACTTCCTAAATCCTCTCAGGTTGGAGCTGACATTGGCCTCTAACACCAAAGCAACCCCAGAGCCTGTGCACCCAGCGGAAAACTACAGATCACATCAGAGCACCATCACCCTGCCCCCACACAGCTGTTCCTCCACAGAGGACAGAGATTGGCGGTCAGTTATCACAGCCAGTCCTTGCAGCTGACTGGCCTGGCTAAATCCATCCAATTGACCTGCCAACAGCAATCAAAGTTCAACTACAACAGAAGTGTGTACTCAGCCCACATGAAGGGCACATCTTGAGTACCCACCTCAGACAATAGGGGAGGCTGTGCCACTGGACTTTATAGGATACTTGCTACATTAGACCATGCAATCAAGACATAGCAGCTCTACCTAATACACAGAAACAAATGCAGGGAGGCTGCCAAAATGAAAAGATAAAGAAACATGGCCCAGATGAAAAAACAGATCAAAACTCCAGAAGAAAAGCCAAACAAAATGAAGATAAGCAATCTATCAAACGCAGAGTTCAAAACAATGGTTATAAGGATCCTCAACAAACTTAGAGAGAACCTCAGCAACATAAAAAAGGTCCAGTTGGAAATGAAAGATATACTAATTGAAATAAAGAACAATTTACAGGGAAGCAACAGTACAATGGATGAAGCCAACAATCAAATCAATGATTTGGAACATGAGGAAGCAAAAAAACAACCAATCAGAACAAGAAGAGCAAAGAATACAAAAAATGAAGATAGTGTAAGCAGCCTATGGACAACAAGCATTCCAACATTAGCATCATAGGAGTGGCAGAAGAAAAAGAGAAAGAGCAAGAAATTGGAAATATATTTGAAAAAATAATGAAAGAAAGCTTCCCTAATTTGGTGAAGGAAATAGACATGCAAGTCCAGAAAGCACACTGTCCCAAACAAGATGGATGCAAAGAGGCCACTCCAAGACACATCATAATTAAAACACCAAAGGTTATAGATAAAGAGAATCTTAAAGCAGCAAGAGAAGAGAAGTTAGTTAATTACAGGGGAGTTCACAAAAGGCTGTCAGCTGATTTCTCAAAAGAAACTTTACAGGCTAGAAGGGATAGGCAAGAAATATTCAAAGTCATGAAAAGCAGGGACTTACAGCTAAGATTCCTCTACTCAGCAAAGCTATCATTTAGAATCAAAGAGCAGATAAAGAGCTTCCCAGACAAGAGAAAACTAAAGGAGTTCATCATCACCAAACTATTATTATATGAAATGTTAAAGGGACTAATTTAAGAAAAAAGAGATCAAAACTATGAACAATAAAATGGCAATAAATACATTTCTATCAACAATTAAATCGAAAAAAATGGGAGGGACTGCAGAGGAATGGGTGATGGGGTGAGGAGATTAAGAAGTACAAATAGAGCCCTGGCTGGTGTAGCTCAGTGGATTGAGTGTGGGCCTGTGAACCAAAAGATCGTGGTTCAATTCCCAATCAGGGCACATGCCTGGGTTGCAGGCCAGTTCCCACCAGGGGACGCATGAGAGGCAACCATACATTGATGCCTCTCTCCCTCTCTCCTTCCCTTCCCCTCTAAAGATAAATAAATAAAATGTAAAAAAATAGGTGTGAATAGATAGTTACAGAATAGCCATGGGGATGTAAAGTACAGTATAGGAAATGGAGTAGCCAAAGAATTTATAAGGCATGAACCATGGACATGAACAACGGTAGAGGGATTGCCTAAGGGAGTGGGGGGTGCTACATGGAGGGGGGCGAAAGGGGAAAAATTGGGACAACTGTAGTGGCATAATCAATAAAATATAATTAAAAGGGAAAAAAGAGACAGTTGCAAGCAAAGTTCAGATTTGCTCAGCTCCTTGTTGAGTTGTGAGTCTAGGTACTGCAAAATCCAGTACCTAGCTCAGCATAGCAAAAAGAAGAGGTAACAGAAAAAAGCTAAGTTTCATTTTTAAAAAGTAAATTTGAAATAAAACAATAAATGCTGTGTTGTCTTACATTTGATGTATTAGCCCGTTCAGGTTCACTTGCTGACTGATGGAAAAAACGCCTGTCGTACCGGAGCACAGTGGCAGCATTTACTCCAGTTTAATAGCAGGTTCCACAAAAGCTGAGGTCAAAAAGAGAATGCTATATTTCTACCACAGTTATAAAGACTTTTCTTTCTTCCATCCTTTTGAAATTTTAATTTTTAAAAGTGAAGCGACTTGCACATATCTAAAATTATGTTTTGAAATAGAAGTGCCTGCAAGGAAATACCACTATTGCTCCTGACTCCTCACGTAACACGAAATCCTGTTCATTTGGGAAAATACTCTTTAACTAGGTTAGTTTTCTTATTCCAGGGTTACTTCTTCGTCCATTTCAATATTGGACATGATCTATTGACATCCCGTTACCACGGATAAAGATTTGGCTTTCTTACAACTGACACTCTCCTCTCAGTAGGGTCGTTACTTACATAACTGATGCTACCTTTATATCCTTAAATATTACATTTAGGTATCCATATCTTGTTCCAATAAATATAGGCATTATTTTTATACTTATAATCAAATTATAAATGTGAAACAGTTTATTTTCAAAGTGCTATACTGATGTTTGTAAAATAGGTTGACTCTGGTAAGATTTCTAATATGGGAACTCCTGGTAGTCAGATACCGATTTTTTTTTTTTTTGCCAACCTGGGAAAAGAGAAAGGTTTAGCCTTTCTTGACCTGAGTGCTGAATTGTGTAGGCCCTTTTCAATGATGCCAAGTTCTTCACAGTAGGTTTGCTCTTCTGGTGTCCTAACAGTAACGCCACTGGAAATTCACGGCTGAGTTTTTCTAGAGCAAGGTTTGGCAAACTACCGCCCAAAGACCAGATTACCTGTTTGGGGGGACATGGGCATACCCATTTGTCTACTTATTACCTACAGCTGCTCTTGTGCTAAAACTGTTGAAGTACGTGTTGTAACACAGTGGAAATTTTCCACAAACCTAAAATGTTTATAACCTGGCCGCTGATGGAGAAAGCTTGCCACCCCCTGCTCTGGACACGTCAGTACATCCACACAGCCACGTGAGCAGCTGCTCTCTTGCTTCCGTCGGACTTATGCATGGGTCTCATCCTTTCTCCTGGTCACTTAACTAATTAGAAGCCATCATTTACTGTATCCCGTGACCTTCCTCTCTCTCGATTTACCTTCTTTATTTTCCTGGAAAAAAATCCTCCATTGGCTTTCTAATGGAAAGAGTGGAAAGTTTGCAGAGTGATTCCATTTTCTAGGTATTTTTATTTCCCAAAATGTCTTTTTAATAACTAAAATAAATTGAGCATAGAATTGTAAGTTAAAGTTATTTTTCCCTCTGAATTATAAAGGCATTGCTCTCCTGTCTCTTAGTGGACAGCACTCCTGCTAACCACTGAAATGCCTGGAGGATTCCACCTGGGAGCTGCGTGTTAACGCGGCACATGCAGAGGGTCTTAGTCTGGAGATGTTTGCTCTTTGATCATCTTTAGTATCATTTCTGTGCAGTTTCCTCACCTGAGTTCTTTTTAATTCCCTCTGGAATTTCTATTGGTCATTTACAGAACCCCCTGGATTGAGGTTTTACTAATTTAAACTTTTAACTCATATTCATTGTTTGGGTTTGTTCTTTGTAAATGCAGATTTGTTGTATCTTAATGCAGACTTCCTCAACTGTATCTACCAATGTTCCAAGACTTTGAGTATTTTTTCCACTATCATTTTAATTTTCTGATAGCTCTCTAATTTTCTTCTTTATTTCTTTCATCATCCAGATCTTTTTTGATAGATTAAATATCTTTTCATACACCATTGCTGTGTATTTTAGTTTTCTTCTTTCTGTGGCTTTCTGCCCCCCTCTTTTTCTGGGGGACTCTTTCACATGACTGGTGATCCTTGGCTTTTCATTCACATTCACAAGTGAGGCACCGGCTGGAGGCTCTGTGTGAGAATGCAGGCCTGTCTGCAGTTGGCATCACTCTGGGTGACGAGTCTGCTTTGTTGGAGATACTCAAATATCAATATGTAGTTTATTTTTTCCCTGGAAACATTTATTTTCTCTCTAGACAGCAATCTTCTGATATTTTATAGGAATTACAAGTCAACTCTTCCTAGTAAAACTTTCAAACTATAGCCAAACTCTTTTAGGGGGCACATGCCTCGCTTTCATCCCTTTGCTATGACAGGTGGATCTAAGCCGGGAGTCCATCTATGATTTCACCTTCAATGTTATTTTGTAACAGTTTCAGGTGTGCAGCATAGTAGTTAGACAATCATACACTTTACAAAGGGCTCCTCCGCTATGTCCAGTACCCAACGGGCACCACACATTTATTATGACATTATTGACTGTTTTTCCTATGCTGTACTTTATATCCCCTGTGACTATAATAACTATCAATTTGTACTTCTTCATCCCTTCACCTTTCGCATGCAGTCCCCCAACCTCTGTCTCCTGTAGCAACTGGCAGCCTGTTCTCTGTATCTATGTGTCTGTTTCAGTTTTGTTTTTTCGTTCTTTAGATCCCACATGTAAGTCGAATCACATGGCATTTGTCTTTTTCTGACTTATTTCACTGAGCATAATACACTCTAGGCCCATGATGCTGTCACAAATGGTGAAATTTCATTCTATTTTGTGGAAGAGTAATATTTCATTGTATCTATGCATCATAGCTTCCTTATTCACTCATCTATTGATGGGCACTTGGGTTGCTTCCATAACTTGGTTTTTGTAAGTAATGCTGCAATGAACATAAATGTGCTTATGTATATTCTTTTGAGTTAGTATTTCAGGTTTCTTTGGATATATTTCTAGAAGTGGAATCACTGGGCCATAAGGCAGTTCTGTTTTTTTAATTTTTGAGGAAGCTTCATACTGTTTTACCCATGAATTATTTTTAATGTAAATAAATAGCTCATGGATTATTTTAGTATAAACTACAAAATCCCTCAAACTAAATAACAATGATAAAACTACACCTTAAAACTTATGAGAAACAACTAGTGCAATACTTTAAGAGT